GTAGTATGTAAAGTCATATTTTAAATATTACGTTATACACTTGTGGCTGCTAAATTGATTTTCTTCACCCACCCCTGCAGATCCCCCTGCTGTTTGAGAGTGGAAATTCAATTTTGAGAAGTTGGATAAAAGAACCAATTTCTACTAGCTAGGCATGAAGAAAATTATTGTATGAGATTATTTTCTTGCACAATGTTCAGAAACACGTTTTATGTTTTCTAATAAATAGCATCGTATTCTTCTGTGACCTTTTTAAGGTTAATATATTTGAGGTATAAATGGTTTCAGAAGAAATTACTTGCTTTGAAAAGGGAAATGATTGCTTCCTGTAACAAATTAGTGAGGTATTTTATTTTGATTATTTTTAGCAAGTGGCTGGATTTAAAGAAGCAGCTTTATTAAATTATTGTTTTGCCTAGCGGCATTTTTGTAGGAAAATCAATGAACATATAAAATATTCAGAATATCCAGTAAAGTAGTGAAAAATAAGTGTATTAGGTGGAAAGGGGAAGTTGAATATATAAAAATGCATCACAAATGAGGGAAAATATTTACTTAAAATGCCAGAGAAAAGCAATATAGAGGTAGAAAGGTGGGGCAATAATCTGCCAACTTTAGAAACTGTGCAGCAAGTATGGGGTGATAAGAAAAGGAATACCAAGTTCTTTGCTAAAAAGGGATGGTTGCGAATTAATAGGAGCTATGTTAGGATCATCTGGAAAATAATAATTTACCATAGGACAAACTAAATTCATGTAAAAATTCATTTAAGGTATTGAGACAGACATATCAAACACAAGGCCCGGGGACCGGATGTGGCCCGCAAAGTCATTTCATGTGGCCTGTGAAGCCATTCTGGAAACAGTGAGGGAACAGTCCCCGCTGCCTTGGCTCTGGCCCTGGCCGGCCGGGAGCCAATTTTGTGGTGGCCATCTATGCTGAAACGCATTCAGTCTTAGCTCCACAAGGCTGTCTAGAAACAGTGAGGAACCAGCCCCTGCCGTGTCAGCCTCACCCCCTGGTGAAGTGTCACCCTTTGTGAGGAATGAAGAAATGGACCATGCCTTGGCGCTTGCCCCGGTCCCACCCCCTTCTGCCAGAGACCCTCAGATCTGTCCCACTCCTGCCCACGCCCCCAGAGGCACCCTTGACGTGAACGATGTAGAGCTGGCCATGCCCACTCAGTAGGCCACACCCACTCCATCCATGCCCACCCAATAGGCTGCACCCACCCTGGCCACACCCACCTGGCCCCCAGAGGGCAACTGCAATGCTGATGCGGCCCTCAATGAAATTGAGTTTGACACCCCTGTACTGAGAGAACATTGTATGGAAATTACGAAAAGGGACATTGAATTGCTTTTCAGCAATACTTGTTTTATTTATTTTCAATATTTCTACTGAAAAGTCCTGTTTCAATCATTTCTCAAAAACTGATCTTGCAAGAGCTGGCGTGATCTAGGGTGGTGGTGGGAGATATATTCCAGGTCAGGGCATCAATAGAGAAATCTTGTTCAACACGTCTTCCATTTAATGGAGTTAAGGTTATCTAACAGATGATGTAAAGTAGAAACTATTGGAATTCCTCTGGGAGTTTTAATGCCTACAAAACTGGCCATAAAGAACATGGGCTGCGGTTTCTGACACACTCACACTGCAAGGGAAACACCGTGCTTCAGCAGGAGTTCTCTTATTTCATTAGAGGTGTCAGTTCTTTAAGTCAGTCCAGACAAGACATCAATACTAACATGACCTTCCTTGTAAGGTTATAATAACAGAATCTTGCAAGTCTGAAAGTACATCTCTCCCCACTTCCACGCTTGCCTTTACTTTCCAGGGAACTAAGGAGGGATCTTTCTGAGATGCTTTTTCCTATCTGAGCTTCTTCTGTGGGCTGAGATGTCCCTTTTCTATCTGATCATTGCCGTGGCTGCAGTTCTTTCTTCTCCCAGAATACATCCAAAAAGATCATTAGAGGAGGGCAGCACTTCCTGATTCACCTTCTATATCTAAAACTCTTTGTCTTAAGGTTAATTTAGCTTAATCCAACCCTAACGGATTCACACCTTCTCTTTGGCCCTTTCCCAAGCCATCATATGTCAGTTCTTGCCAAATTCTATTATTACACTGTAATCTTTGGTACTTGCCAAATAGAGCCTTTACTGCTTCCCATAGCTCAGAGTGGTGTTTTTCAATCTTGGCACTTCAGGCATGCTGGCTGGGGAATTCTGGGAATTGAAGTCCACGCAGCTTAAAATTGCCAGGGTTGAGAAATACTGGCCTAGAGCCTTGCCATGTCTAAATATGGTCCTGCATTACACCTATAGTAAAATGGAATGTCTGGAGTTTAAAGGATAGTAGACGTTTCTGCAATTATAATTATATTGATTCAAAATTGGGCACTCTGGATAAAGCCGGATCTTTTTTAAAAAAAATTGTTGTATGGAAGATTAATGGGATGATAAAGATGACTTTTCGTAAGTTTTTATCTTAAAAGATAAATATAATTTTTCCTTTGCCACCCACTGGCTGTATTTACAATTACAGCATCTGGTGACATTTTGATTTGGAACAGATGCTTTAGAAACATCTAATTTGTATAAGTGGTCACTAAAACCTATGAGACTAAAAAGTCTACCCTTCGTGTTTATAAGTGCTTGCAATAAATATATCACTTTGACATGTAACTTTTACAGAATGGATGGAGCAAAGAATTGGAGCTCCCTTTTGCCTTAAACAATAATGAACTATCTTAACTTCTATATCAAAAATTTCAAAAGATCTTAGACTACAACTTTTTAAAAGAAACACACAAAAAAACCTATTTTTTGAGCTATTTTTATTCCTTTGTTCAGCTTCTTGGCCAGACAACAGCATAGATATGGGAGAGCACTGAGTAATTCATTTCTCTTCAGGAAATTCATTCTCAGGCTTGTTCGTTTGATCTATAATTCACTTTTTCTCCAGAAACTGAATGCAGCTTACATAGGGGTTGCCTTTTATTTTTATCCCCACACTACACACCTGTGAGACAGGTTGGACTGAGGAATCCCATAGATGAGATTATATAGATTTTGAACACATTTTTAAAAGTGAATGTGAGCCAGAATGTATTAAGGGATGTTTGAGAATAGGAATTTTATATCTCTTTGATACAACTGTTGTGCCTTGATTGTGAGACTTGGACAGGTTTAGCTTTATTTATTCATAGACATACAAGCTGCTTTTCTTCCAAAGTGGCTCCCTTTCATGTAATCCTCACAAAAAACACCCTGGGACTGCACGGATAATGACTGGTTCAAAGTCACTCAGTGAGGTTCTGAGGACGGTTTTCAAACTTGGGCTGAGATCAGAATCACTTGTCCAGGCTGACTCTCTCCATGCACCTATGTGATTCTATGCCAGGGGTGTGAAACTCGCAAGTCATGTGACGTGTCGTAACGTATCACAGCTTTTTTGCCATTCCCGACAATGGGGTGGACACAGTTTCGCTATGATGCATCCAGCCCGCAGGCCAGCAGTTTGACACCCCTGTTCTATGTATACTCAGGTAGTGATCACATTGACTCCATTGGTCTGATCCTGAAGGGCTTTCCCATGTCCTTCTAATGCCCTAAATCAGGGGTGTCAAACTGCTGGCCCATGGGCCGGATGCATCATAGCGAAACCGCACCTACCCCATCACTGGCACTGGCAAAAAAGTCATGATACGTCGCGGCACGTCGTGTGACATTGCGAGTTTGACACCCCTGTCCTAAATGAATGAAAAATTATGTTTTCCTTCTCCCTTCAATAATATGCTATTTTTTACAACAGAAAACGGCAACCTGGGCCATTCAGATATTTTGGACTACAACTCCATAAACCCAACCAGAAGAGATTATGGCTATTATTATCAAAAGCATCTGGAAAATAATGTTATAAGAGAGCCAGTTTGATCTGGTGTTTAAGGCACCATACTACAAATTGAGAGACTGTGAGTTCTAGTCCCGCTTAGGCATGAAAGCCAATTGGGTGACTTTGGATCAGTCACTCTCTCTGTCAGCGCAAAACACATCACCGGATTGTTGTTGTGGGGGAAAATAGGAGGAAGGTATGTTGGATATGTTCACCAGCTTGAGCTATTTGTAAAAATAATAAAGGGAAATACATACATACATACATCTCCTCCCAGAAATAAAACTTTTAGAAATAACTGTAATAATACCCAACTAATGAATGTCATCACTGGAGAAGGGCCTAATGCTGGGAAAGATTGAGGGCAATAGAAGAAGGGGACGACAGAGAATGAGATGGCTGGATGGAGTCACTGAAGCAGTAGGTGTGAGATTAAATGGACTCCAGAAGATGGTAGAGGACAGGAAGGCCTGGAGGAACATTGTTCATGGGGTCGCAATGGGTCAGACACGACTTCGCAATTAACAACAACAACAACAAAAATGAATGTCAAATACTTTATATAAAACAAGGTCCTTTGTCATCTAGTTTTTCACCCACTCATTATCAAATGGTTTCTCTTCTTGTTTTTCCTGCAATGTTATTATACTTCAGTCTGTCTAAATCTCCCATCTTGTCTAAGTGGATCCAACAGAAGACAATGGTTTAATCCTAATTTTTAGCAAGGCCTAATTTTTTTTTAAAAATGTACTTGCCAATTTTGGGGCCCTATTTTATCTGCTAAATGAAACAACATATGTTGTACATAGTATGTTTAGGTGTGTGTCATGTATGAGTTTCACTTTGAAAGCGGGCAACTAAATTTCATTCTTGATGTGTGCCATTGTGCCCACAGTAAAAAAATGACAACAAAGGTTATCTTATCTTATCTTATCTTATCTTATCTTATCTTATCTTATCTTATCTTATCTTATCTTATCTTATCTTATCTTACCTTACCTTACCTTACCTTACCTTATCTTATTCACTGTCATTCTGTGAGTATGGACTTGAATGTTGCTTTAATTTAGACTTTTGTAACAGCACCATAACCTTCAGACATGTTTTGTATGCAATACACTTTATTTATTGAGATCAAATAATTATACCACAATATTAACTTATTCACGGAGCAGCCGTACATTGGTTACAACAATCATACAACTGACTATGCTGCTTTATGCTAAATGATGCTTTGAACATTTACAGCTCATACAATGATATTATAGACAGAAACACTTTTGTTTAGAAATGCAGATGTTCTGGTTTTATGGTATGTTCTCCTTTAGGCTACAAACAGACTAAGAAAAAAATGAGCCTTGTTTGTGTACAGACACCAGCGTGTATGCAAATTTGGCAGTTCTTAATTGTTTCTCACTCCAGGTATAAGCTGTTCAGTCTGATAAATGTGTGGCAAGGTAGAGATCCAGTTCTTACCCTCCCCCTATTCCTTACAATAGATGCACAATCACTCAATAGAGATACACATCTAGACTGTGGGGTCCTTAATGCTATCTGAACTTGAATGTTTTCATGCAAATGTTTCATTAGCCAGTTAGGTAAAATCACCAGTGCTAGAAAGGAATGGGGTTTACTTTCACTTTATATACAAGTGACATCTAGACTGGTTAGCTAACAAATGCTTTGTTCAATTTGTAGGATAGTTTCCTTCAAAAACAGTCAAGGACCCATCTCAAAACAATGAAGGCAAAGTTCAGTCTGCCTTATGACAGATATATTTTTAACAGTGGGAAGTTCACGCTATGTACCTGGGATCTGTCTGTAGCTGGAATAAAGAAAAGATAAAGCTTAGTAAGATTTAGCAAAAGTTTGATTCTATTGTCTTCCCATTGATTCTGATCTCTCTCATTCAATTGTTGAAAATAACATTTTCCCTTGAAATTATTACATGTAGTTGGAGAGCAACTGGATCTCTAAGTTAATCATGCTCCCTGTTAAGACATGGCTGTGTCTTTTTCATTGTTAAAATCCTACTTTTGACACTTTTTTATTTAAAGGTAGCACCAATTTCAACAGTCAGCAGAATGTCTGATCTGAATAGAAGTTGAGAAAGAAAAACTTTCCTCAAGTGATGACAAGATAGGACAAACTTTTTTGTAATGTTTTGCAATAGCTGTAGAGTGTAGTTGTGTCAATATCTGCACCTCTGTTATCCTAATTAAATAAATAAATACCTTTGTAAAGATGTAAACACAGTTACTTGGTCCATATATTATATCCATTGAATCACACAACTTCAACATAAATATGGCTCTAGGAACAAATACTGAACTTAATATGCAGAAAAAAATTGAACAGTTATATAGCTCAAAATTTCCTTTTAAGGAAAAATATTTTTATTAGATACAGAATTCAGATTTTGAGTAATTGATCCAACTCTATAGAATAAATTAATTAGTCATATATACATTATCTAAAATGTTACATTAGCAAAACAATTAAATATAAATGGAGAAAAGTTCCATGTTCACAGTCATAATATTCTGTTGTGAAAAGTATGTGGTTTCATGCACTTAGATACATTACTAACGTTCTAATAAAGAAGAATATCAAATAAATACTTTAATCAGTAAAAAATGTTGAATTGTATAAACTAGCAGTCAGATAGCAATGAAGAAAATATAGGAGATATAATGCATGCTTTATGCTATATATGTATGTGTACACTTTGAGAGGAAGCAACTAAATTTCATTTTTAATGTGTGCCATTGTGCCCACAGGAAAAAATGACAATAAATGTTATCTAATCTAATCTAAAACTATATAGAGTAATCTTCAGAAATCATAGGAAACTTATTTTGCCCCATCAAAATGCAGAAGAAAAGCTAATGTTAATTTAATTACATTATGCATATTTTAACCTACAGACTGAAGGCTACAAAACATTCTTACCATACATGTACAAAGCTACTGTAAGGGTATTTCTACCATACATATAACAATTAAGTTATTTCATTTCACCACTGCGATGAATGCATCATCACCACCACCACCACCACAATCATCCACTGGGGGAGAACTTCATCATTCACAAACAAACAAGAGCCACAGCCCACCTCCAACAGTTCATGTTCACAGACCTTGGATTAGTTGAAACTCATCATCACATGAATCTACAAACACTCAAATATGTGCTGTCTATCATCAACATGTTTGAGCTTTCTACATATGATCAATGTTAAGGGCTCTGCGGTTGCTACATTTGATTAGTAAATGAAATTGGGCCACTCTGGTTAAAGCTCTGTTGTTGCTGGCCAAATTCATCAACTTGGCCATAATTAGTTTGTTGCCCAAAATTGCCTTCCTGTTGGTTATACCCACCACTCGACCCATAGCTATCTTGATTGTAGCCACCTTGATTATAGCTGCCAGACTGTTTCTCGAGGGTGTCTTGAGGATACCTTGAACCTGAAGAATGCCAACCAGTCTCCTTAAAAACAAACCAGATATTTCCTGCCCAGAGAACAAAGTTCAAGAATCCAAAGACCTACACAAAAAGCAGAGCAAGACATTAAATTTCATTTAGTTTTTTTTTCCCTCTCTCTTTTGATTATTCACATAATTGAGATTCTTCTTTAAGAAAAAATCCAAAGACAACTTATTAATTCAAGGTACTTTTGTCCAGAAAATCTTCCAAAGATGTAGTTAAAACAAATATTAATCTGTCACCCACATAGTAGAGGTAGGAAATATAAATGAACAATAATCAACTAAAAACGGCTTACAGCTTTCATTTAGTAGGTGACCTACAACAAACTAATTGAAAGAAGAGTTTCATTCTTTGATGTTGGATCTGTGGCTTCACGATATTGTTACCAGAGGCAATCAATCATTTATTTTTTTCCTAAAGTAATTTTTTGCAGTGCCATAATAAGTGTGTGTTTGTGCTATTAACAGACTCAGATGATTAAAAGGCCTTTTTTCCTCCAGATTCTGTATAGTATCTAGAGATATCTATTTCATATTCATACAATTAGGATAAATACACTTTGATTGTTAAATACAACCAGAATGGTCAATTATTATCTTTTAAAATGGTCATACTTGCTTACACTATGTCTATTTATAGCTGTTCATGCCATTATTATCTTATTATCCTTTGAAGAACCAATGAATTAGGTTAAATATGAAATTCATGGTGGATTCCAACTGAAGAAGGAGAAAAGACAAATGCTGAGTGATTCTGTAAGACACCAATCATTTTATTTCAGACCCCCCCCTTTTTTTTTTTTACAAAATAAATGGAATACTCACAACTGAAGTATTAAGACTTGACATAACAGGGCTGTACACAGGCAAGCACTTGTTGGATTGTTGTTTGCAAGCTGACATCAGTAAGAATACTTCATCTGGATTAGTGGCAACCTTTACATCAGATAGTCCTTTAGCCCAAGCAGAAGAACCCACAAGCCACATGAAGGAGAAAACCACTGTCACAACGAAGTCCTACAAAACCCAAATTGAACATTGCAGGTTCATGTTTGACAGGCAGGAAAAAGCATGGTAGGACATTGGTACAATGGGAAGGGATACAAAAGGCCAGAAGGACAGTTCCATTTGATAGCATACTCTCAGAGTGCATAAATCCCATGTCTAAAAATGTACACACATTTGCATTTTCCTACTTATGAAAATCATACATGTGTTCCTGATGTGGAAGCATAATACATGCTGGATGGAATGAGTCACAACTTGGACCTAGTTCAATTCTCAGCCCAACAATTTTCAGAAAAAACAGGTGTTATTTGTCAGATGGTTATAAACAAACAGCCCCTTAGAAGATAAGTCAAGACAAGCAACGGGTGGAAACAACTTCTCCCACTGAAAAGATTGGCTTCTAGCCTGTACATGAGATGGGTGGGGAAAAGAGATACAAGAATTTGAACTTCAGTATGACTATAAATAGGCCTTGCATATGATACCCAACAGACTTCTTCTTCTTTACTTCCTCTTTTATCACTTCAGGTGTTGAGGGAGAAACAAGTTCTGGTTCTTGTTAATAACCACTGTTATTCAGTGCTGCTGTAGATGGAAAGAAGATATCTTTCCATCTTCTTCCGAGTCTGCCTGATTTCTTATGCCTTTTCCTCTTTTTGTATATGCCTTGTATGATATAGAATAGACTTCCCCAACCATTTCAGCTTTGTGGACTGATACGGGGGAGGGGATAGTTCCACGCAAGAAGTGGGCAAGCATGCACGTGCTCACTGCTCGCGCAAGTGGGGATGCACATTCAAAATTTAAGGAAATTGACAATTGCCTCTCAAATCCAACCTCATGTCCACTTTGTAAGAGATGGTAACAGGACAAAGTAATGGATTGGCATAGCATTGTGCCACAGGCAGACATGAAGGCCATCTTGAGTCACCTGGAAACGGCCAGGCTAAAGGCCCAGAAAGCTGCAATGGATAATATACTGCTACAGAAATTACAAGGAGATAGATACCCAGCAGATACTAGATACTTAGTAATAGTAATAGTAGTAAAGTTGGAAGGGACCTTGGAGGTCATCTAGTCCAACCCCCTGCTCGGGCAGGAAACCCTACACCATTTCGGACAAATGGCTGTCCAGTCTCTTCTTAAAAACTTCCAGTGTTGGAGCATTTACTGCTTCTGGAGGCAAGCTGTTCCACTGATTAATTGTTCTCACTGTCAGGAAGTTTCTCCTTAGTTCTAGGTTGCTTCTCTCCTTGATGAGTTTCCACCCGTTGCTTCTTGTCCTGCCTTCAGGTGCTTTGGAAAATAGCTTAATTCCCTCTTCTTTATGGCAGCCCCTGAGATATTGGAATACTGCTATCATGTCCCCCCTTGTCCTTCTCTTCGTTAAACTAGACATACCCAATTCTAGCAACCGTTCCTTATATGTTTTAGCCTCCAGTCCCCTAATCATCTTTGTTGCTCTTCTCTGTACTCTTTCTAGAGTCTCAACATCTTTTTTACATCGTGGTGACCAAAACTGGATGCAGTATTCCAAGTGTGGCCTTACCAAGGCATTGAAGAGTGGTATTAATACTTCACGTGATCTTGATTCTATCCCTCTGTTAATGCAGCCTAGCACTGTGTTGGCCTTTTTGGCAGCTGCAGCACACTGCTGGCTCATATTTAAGTGATTGTCTACTAGGACTCCGAGGTCCCTCTCACAGTTACTACTATTGAGCATGGTGCCACCTATGCTGTACTTGTGCATTTGGTTTTTCTTTCCTAAATGTAGAACCTTGCTTTTTTCACCATTGAATTTCATTTTGTTAGTTAGTGACCAGTGTTCAAGTCTGTCCAGATCCTTCTGTATCTGAAGCCTGTCTTCTGGAGTGTTGGCTATTCCTGCCAGCTTGGTGTCATCTGCAAATTTGATGAGTTCCCCATCTATTCCTTCATCCAAATCGTTGATTCAGCTTTTCTGCAATAAATCTACTGATCAGAAGTTTTGTGTCTTTGAATTCCTTGTATCCAGTCTGGCTTGCCAAGAGAAGCCTGAATTTGATTGATGGTGATTCCTTAGGTTACTATGTGGAGCACCTTCTCCAATCTGGTACTAGATCTGATAAGTGTACAGTTCTTGGCATTCTCAAGATACTTTGGCCAAGACGTCTAAAGAGCCATAAGTTGACAAAAACTTCTAAGGCCAACTTACATATGAGATGTGAACCTCCACCTGCAGTCACACAAGAGAAAGATAAGTTGCCTTATCCTGATGCTGATAAGCTGCTTTCCATTTAATTTCATCAAAGCATTTCCCTCCCAATTCTATATGGAAAAGAGATTTGGAACAGCTGGATAGCAGCTATAAGATTAGCCTTCAATGGAATTAGCTAGGGGGACAGAGATGCCAGTAGGATCCTATTGCTTACTTTAATGTTGTGCAAAATATAACATATTTTACCCCTTTTAATGGTAAATTTTAATGGATTTTCTTTTCTCTGCATAATTCAGCCATGTCCATGCTGCTTTCAAATTTTACCTTTTTTTTTTGGTCAGCTTCTCAAGTCACACTAAATTTGCTTCTATCCCTGTCCCCTCCCCCCCCCCCCATTTCCAGAAAATTATCCTGCTGTTGGCCAGATGGTAGAGAGGCAGAATCCTGAGCTTCTTTACATGATTTTGTTCTGAGATTCCATTAAGTTGCAAATAAAAAAAAATTATCTTGGAAAATTACCATGGATAATGAGTTTGCACCCAATATACTCCCAGTTAACCCCTATATCCAGATTAGAGCAAGGACACATGCCACTCAGTTCAGTTAGCAATAAAATATAGCTTGATTTTTAATTATTGCACATCAAAAATAGTTAATGGGCAAAACAGGTGGGCAAAACAGAAGGACACAGAACTTTCCAATGCCACATACTGTGGATAATTAACATGGACACACCCAAAGGGAATGACTTTTGTTCATTTCTGCTTTAACCTTATAATGTTCCTAATTTATGACACCTAATTAATGACAGCCACACAGGCCTGGAAAAAGGACATCAGGTGATTCCCTCTATTCTGAACCACGAAAGAAGCAATTCATTGGACTGGGATGAAGTGTCCAACAAGTATCCCAAGTAGGTGTTGTTACCCAACTTACTTATTCCCCAGAGTTTCTCAACCTTGGTCATTTTAAGACACGTGGAACTCAATTCCCAGAATTCACCAGCCCAGAAACACTGCACCAACCCTCAGAGATCAGGGTTATGTAATCCAGAGTATGCAAAAATGTAAAATATTATGTTTTACTGGATTCAAAATTTAATTTTATCCTAAATTTAATTTACTCAATGTTCCCACATTTTGTGAAAGACTAAAACAGCCTCCCCCCTCACCCCACCCCCAACTCTGGGAGGTTATTATTTTTTTTCCTAAGAAAAATCCCCAAGGACTGCAGGAAGTGTTATGCTAATGTTTCTGGAGGATGTGGAATCAAAACGGTAGAGACCTTTTTGCATTTTGGAGTGGAACATGAAGGCCAATTAAGCGCATTTGCATTTAGGCTTTCTTTCATCCAAGAAAGCATTCAGATGAAAATCACCTTGTTGCAATCAGGGGTATTATCTTTCTGTGTGTGCAGGAAAAAGTGGAGGGCAAATGTTGCTTTGGGTTTTTGTCTGGACACTAAAAAATGTGGCCCAGATTTGAGGGATGAAGGACAGCTTCAGTTGAGGCCTGAAGATCAGATATTTTTTTTTTTTGGGGGGGGGGGGGCTAAGTACATGTTCCCATTTATGATATGAGTTACTCTTGAGTTTCTTAGAGCTGGGTGAATTGCCTAAATAACCTCCCATTTATAGCGCTGATCATCAGTGCAGGCTTCCCTCAGAAACTACGAAAAGCATAAAACTGATTTTTACAAGGCAGGATAACTCATCCAATTATTTTTTGTGGATTGCAGGCAATGAAAATGTCACCATTACAACTTTTCTAGTTTACTGCTGCTGATGGTTTTCTATTTGTGGATTAGAAATGATGACAAAGGGATAAAAATGCAGTGATGTTAAAATTCTGTCACAACAGAATTATTTTTTCCTGAGTAGAATGGTATCACCACAATGGCAAAGAGCAGAAGAACATGGGAACATTGGTTTGGGGTTACTTGCCATGCATGATATAGAAATGCCTTTCACATATTAAACAGAAGAATATAAGTTTATGAGATAATAATAATAATAATAATAATAATAATAATAATAATAATAATAATAATGTTGGAAGGGACCTTGGAGGTCATCTAGTCCAACCCCTGCTCAGGCAGGAAACTATACCATTTCAGACAATTGGCTCTCCAGTCTCTTCTTAAAAACTTCCAGTGTTGGAGCATTCACCACTTCTGGAGGCAGGTTGTTCCACTGGTTAATTGTTCTAACTGCCAGGAGGTTTCTCCTTAGTTCTAGGTTGCTTCTCTCCTTGATTAGTTTCCATCCATTGCTTTTTGTCCTGCCTTCAAGTACTTAATGCTGTCTGTTGAAGGTTCAAATAAACTTCTAACAAATGACTTTTAAAATTAAAGATCCCGGAGATGGTACTACAGAGCTTGTTGGAATGAACTTATATATGCTATTGCCCCTTTTGGATGGTAATTGGAGAGCCAATGTACATCTGCACACCCATAATACCAGCCAGACAACAGATTAATTTAAAGATATTTAAACTCTCTTATTCATAGGTGTCTGCGTGCATTTACAATATTGTAGATCATAGTTATATAAATTATTCTTTGTTGCCTAAACCAAAAATGTCAGCACACATTCTCTATACTATAACACTTATAAATATATCCAAATGTGTTTGATATAAAGCAATTCTGTAATAAATACAATCATGTCCATTTTGACAATATTCCTTCTCTTCTTTCAGATTTCTGTAATGCAGCCTGTTATTAAGACTTGCTTTATAGGCAATACTTAGCAAACTCCAAAGCTTTCATATTTCTTGATACCATTTTGGCTGATCCTAATGAAAGGGTTACCCAGTTGTGGATTTTGTTTTTTAATGGAACAACCTAAAAAATGTTACATGCTTTTTAAAAGCCAAAGATATTTAACATATACATTTTTATAGGAACTAATTCTCAGATTTTTCTGAGTGGGACAAAGCAGATTGTAATCTAAGGAAATCAGTAGCACATTTTTTAAAAAATTCAGTAAAACTTTGAAAAAAGCAGCATTTCAATTGTGTAGAAAAAAAAATTATGTCTCCTCAGGATCTATAAAGTCATGGATGGAGATTTTAAAAAGATAAGATGTTGTATCTCTCATAGTCTCTCATAGTATTTGTAATATCTGTAGAAAGGGATAAATAGGAATATTTACTCTTCTTTAATGTTCATAACAAAGGTCTATAAAATCAGTGTATCTACATGAACTGCTGTCTGCATAGACACAATTAACACTAATAACAGTTCTCAGATTTTTTTTAAACAATATCTGCCCAATTTATCTTGTCAACATCATTGGGCAAACTTTGTTTGCCTTCAAAACTATTTCTGTACGATTCTCAATAACAGTCTCCAAATAAGACCAATTAACACCAAATAACCCTCTAAATAACACTATCCAAAGTGTGTAAAATCTAAGTAGGAAATAGAAAAACCTTTATATAAGATGACAATAGAATTCAAACTAACCCAATGGAAGAGACAACTTAGACAGGGGGTTCTCAACCTTGGCAACTTTAAGACTTGTGGACTTCAATTCCCAGAATTCTGAGAGTTGAAGTCCACAAGTCTTAAAGTTGCCAAGGTTGAGAACCCCTGACTTAGACAGATGCATCAATTACAAGGACAAAGGTATTAGTAGTGGCTGAATGCATACTTACAATCAAAGGACCTCTGTTGTTTTCGCGGTATTTGTTCTGGAAGAAAATGTAAACTACGGTGGCTGCCAAGGAATAGAGGAAGGCAAAGACGGCAATAGTCACAAAGAATTCCGCAGAAGAGGAAAAGTCGCCTATGAGTGAAAGTTTTTCTTGTCTGCCTTCACAGGTGGGAGCATCAAATTTCACCTGGTACAACCTAACATTGAGAAAAAGAAGGAAATGAGTTGGAATTAGAATGCAAATTAATCCTTTGGAAATCAATCAATCAGAATAGAGCTGGAAGGGACCTTAGAGGTTTCCTAGTCCAACCCCCTGCTTAAGTAGGAGCCCCTATACCATTTCAGACAAAGGACTGTCCAGTCTCTTCTTAAAAACCTGCAATGATGAAGCACCCACAATGTCTGAAGGAAAGCTGTTCCACTGGTTAATTGTCCTCGCTGTTAGCAAGTTTCTCCTTAATTAGTTTCCATCCATTGTTTGGATACACTTTCTACGGTATTGAGGTGGATTCCACGTGCACTTCAAATGTCCTTGATAGAATGGTGCCCTACCAAGTTTTCTTCAAAAATTCTGTGAATCAGTATCTGCTACTTGCACACACACACTTGCACACACACAGTTGGCTGTTTAGCCAACTACAGTACAACATTTTAAAGGCTACTTCAAAGACTGCACCTCTTTCCAAAGTTGAATGTAGCCAACCAGCTGGTAAGAAGCTTTCAAAACACAAACATTGCCAGATATCTTGTATGTCTCCACATGAATTTGGCTGTATATGGCTCATTGGATCATGGATTGCATAAATTGGAATGCACAATCATACCCAATTTTACATACACACAGGGCACCGTTCTGCAATGCACTGGTTTCTGAGCCAAACATATTTGTCTCTGTGTTGCATTTGTGCTCTGTTTTGTACTTAGATTTCACTAGGCACAAATGCTGGGATTTATTAGACAATATAAGGAAGTATGCAATTTGTGTATGTTACTGTGCATGGCACCACTGCTGTTGGTTGTGGATATCACTCACCAGACCCTGCAAGCTTTTGAAATTTTTTGAGGCTATTTAGGATTCTTTATACTTCCAAAGAATCATCCCACTCTTTTCTATAGTAAGCAAGACTTCTACAGATAATATTTCATTAAGACCTAGATTCAAAGACACCCTCTATATACTGTACTACTAAAACTTTTGTGTCTGTAACCTTTAACAAGACAAAATGGTACACTGTAAAACTGGGGTGTCAAACTCGCAACATCATGTGACATGTTACAACATATCACAACTTTTTCTCCATTGGCAGCAATGGGGTGGGCGTGGTTTCAGCATGACGCATCAAGCCCATGGGCTGGCAGTTTGACACCCCTGCTGTAGAGTAACAATTTTGAATCAAAGTACTTCAAATGAACTAACTTACAGAATGTGTCCAAAATCCAGAACCTATGATTCCTCTAGAATTGAAATTTGGAAAATGTTATAAAACATTTTGTGATATAAAAATGATCCTAAAACATTTTATGATGTAATACAAAATATCAAAATGATTGGTCCATTAGTGGGTGGAAGTGGCAAGAAGGTGACAAGCAACAGGAAGAAAGCAGAACTATTTAACTCGTTTTTTGCATCTGTCTTTACACAAAGGGAAAAAACAGACCAACCTATCAAAAATAGTGCCATAAAAAACAAAATAGAAACACAAGTTAAGATAGGCAAGAAAATGGTAAGTGAGCACCTGTCAGCCTAGATGAGTTCAAATCACCAGGACCAGATGGATTACACCCCAAGGTTCTCAAGGAACTGGCAGATGTGATATCGGAACCACTGAACTATATTTTTCAAATATCCTGGAACACAGGGGAACTACCAGAGGACTGGAAAAGAGCTGATGTAGTTCCCATCCTCAAAAAAGGAAAAAAAATGGATCCAGGAAAAATGGATCCTATCAGCCTGACCTCAATACCTGGGAAGATCCTGGAAAAAAATAATCAAACAATGAATCAACGAACACCTAGAGGCAAACAAAATCATTACTAAAAGCCAACATGGGTTTGTCAAAAATAGATCATGCCAGACAAATCTTATTGCATTCTTTGACCAAGTGACAAAATTAGTGGATCAGAGGAATGCTGTGGACATAATTTACTTGGACTTCAGTAAGGCATTTGATAAAGTAGATCACAACCTACTACTTGACAAGATAGAAAAATGTGGTGTAGACAGAACCACCACCAGATGGATCCGTAGCTGGCTGACCGGCCGTACTCAGCGAGTGGTCCTCAATGGAACTGCATCTATATGGAGGGAAGTGTGTAGTGGGGTGCCCCAGGGCTCTGTTCTGGGCCCAGTACTCTTCAACATCTTCATCAATGACTTGGATGAAGGGATAGATTGGGAACTCATCAAATTTGCAGACGACACCAAGCTGGCAGGAATAGCCAACACTCCAGAAGACAGGCTTCAGATACAGAAGGATCTGGACAGACTTGAACACTGGGCACTAACTAACAAAATGAAATTCAATGGTGAAAAAAGCAAGGTTCTACATTTAGGCAAGAAAAACCAAATGCACAAGTACAGCATAGGTGGCACCATGCTCAATAGTAGTAACTGTGAGAGGGACCTCGGAGTCCGAGTAGACAATCACCTAAATATGAGCCAGCAGTGTGCTGCAGCTGCCAAAAAGGCCAACACAGTGCTAGGCTGCATTAACAGAGGGATAGAATCAAGATCACGTGAAGTATTAATACTACTCTTCAATGCCTTGGTAAGGCCACACTTGGAATACTGCATCCAGTTTTGGTCACCACGATGTAAAAAAGATGTTGAGACTCTAGCAAGAGTACAGAGAAGAGCAACAAAGATGATTAGGGGACTGGAGGCTAAAACATATAAGGAACGGTTGCTAGAATTGGGTATGTCTAGTTTAACGAAGAGAAGGACAAGGGGGGACATGATAGCAGTATTCCAATATCTCAGGGGCTGCCATAAAGAAGAGGGAATTGAGCTATTTTCCAAAGCACCTGAAGGCAGGACAAGAAGCAACGGGTGGAAACTAATCAAGGAGAGAAGCAACCTAGAACTAAGAGAAACTTCCTGACAGTGAGAACAATTAACCAGTGGAACAGCCTGCCTCCAGAAGCAGTAAATGCTCCAACACTGGAAGTTTTTAAGAAGAGACTGGACAGCCATTTGTCCGAAATGGTGTAGGGTTTCCTGCCTGAGCAGGGGGTTGGACTAGATGACCTCCAAGGTCCCTTCCAACTTTACTACTATTATTATTATTATCATAAATATTTTATGTAGTCAACGTCTGATGCTTGAGTGTGCTATGCAGTTCCACATTCACTGTTTTTTTATTGAAAGTTTTATAAATTTTACAAAAAAACAAAAACAATACAAAACAAAAAACAACATATACAAAAAAAATAAAAAACTAAACATTACATATATAAAAAAAACCCCCCCATCCCCCACCCCTCACAAACACCCTCCCTTCCCCCCCCTGAGCTTCCCAGAGCAGAATATAGGCTTAGTTAAAAATTAACAAATAAAGATAAAAATTAAATTAAAAAATTTATATTTATATATATATATATAAAAATATCTATATATAACATTCTCTATATATAAAAATAAAACTTATGAAAAAACTATGTGATATTTTTTTATACCCAGTCTAAATTGTATAAATTTTATCCATTTGTCCCAAACGGCAAGAAACTTCTCTTGCGTTTGTTGCTTTAAGAAAGCTGAAATCTTTGCCATTTCCGCCAAATAGGACACTTTAAGAAACCATTCCTGCAGTGTAGGCAAAGATTCCTTCTTCCAGTATTGTCCAACTAACAGCCTCGCGGCTGTAATCAAATTTAACATCAATACAACCTCCTTTGTATCGCAATCTGTAACAATGCCCAACAAAAATAATTGCGGAGTAAATTTTACCCTCCTTCTAAAAATTCTCTGGATATTCCACCATATTTTGATCCAAAATGCTTTTATCTCTCTGCATGACCACCAAATATGATAATAAGAAGCATCCGTATAATCACATCTCCAACATTTGGGTTGTACGTCAGGGTATATAAGAGACATTTTTTGTGGATCAAGGTGCCATCTATAAAACATTTTATAAAAATTCTCCCTAAGGTTCTGTGCTTGTGTAAATTTGACATTTCTCACCCAAATGGTTTCCCAGATGTCCAATGAGACTGGGACACCAAAATTCTGCGCCCATCTAATCATGCAGTCTTTAATTAATTCCGTTTCTGAGTCCATTTCAACTAAAACCCCATAGATTCTCTTGATGTGGGTTTGTCTTTGATCCTTGACTTGCTTAATAAGATTTCCATCTTCTCTAAGAAAACCCAATTTACAATCCACCTTCCATTTATCTACTAGTTGCCTATATTGAAACCAAGAATAAATAATGTTTTCTTGCGCTAAATCTTCCCGTAATCTTAACTGCCAGTTTTGCCCATCCCATCTAAGTAACTGACTATAAGACACCATATCCATTTTTACACCTCTTTTTATTCCTTCTATCGCATGCCAAGGTATGGCCCATAATGGAACTTTAAAATCACTTTTATAATATTTTCTCCAAGTCCTAAGTAAAGAAATTCTTAAAATATGAGATTTTAAAGACCCAATCCATTTTTTTATTAAATATTAAATAGGCATGCCACCCATAAAGTAAATCCCATCCCTCTAAATGAAGTATCTCAGGATTTGTCAAATTTACCCAATCACTAATTAGTGTTAAAACCACCGCATCGTAATATAATTTCAAATTTGGTACTTTGAGTCCACCCCTCTCACGGAAGTCTTGCATAATTTTAAACTTAACCCTTGGCTTTTTCCCTGCCCAAATAAATTTATTAAGACCCTTCTGCCACTCACTTAAGTTAATCTCATTTTTCAAAATCGGTAGCATTTGAAACAAAAAAAGAAACTTGGGTAGAATATTCATTTTTATCACTGCAATTCTTCCCATGAGGGATAATTGCAACTTCTCCCAATTCTTCAAGTCCTTCTGTACCCTGACCCACAACCTTTCATAATTGTTTTTAAATAATTTTACATTAGAAACAGACAACATCACCCCCAAATATTTTACCTTATTAACAATCTCAAAACCCGTCAAGTTAGCCAATATCTGCTTCTCCTGACTAGACATATTTTTAGGTAAGATTT